TCGGATCTTAATTAGAAAAAGATTTTTAAAAATAAACGGTAAGAGTTAAAAAAAAAAAAAAAAAAAACGGTCCTTATATTTTAATCCTCTATCGAAAAAAAGTTTCGATTGATTCTGAGATTTGACCCAAATTGACCTGTCACGTTTCACGTTGAACAGGTATAAATATAGTGATTGGATATAATTGGATATAAAAAATATACAAATTTTGTGAAAAGTGCATTATAAACAAAATAACATTTCTAATAAGTGCAAAATTACAAATGCAATACTCTTGAATTGAAAAAGAAAAAATGCACAAGAGAATTTAAGAAAAAAACGCTGACCACAGGACTTTGTCACCAAGGGAAGTCGTCGCCAAGAATCATCAAAATGGTCGCTACATAAAAGTCGTCGACAGCATCATAATGGTCATAAATGGGCTTAGTCAACGTTATTATCAGATAAGTTCGATATTTGTAATATAAACAGGAAAGGAAACTAACTTCGCCCAAATACCTATAGTTTAATGCTTACTCTATCGGTGCAGTTCCAAAGTTTCTAGATTCTGCGTGCTCATTTAAAATTTTAAGTTGTCAGAAATGAAAACGCCTACACTTATAAAAAAAAACGCCATTGGTTCAAAAAAATCGCCTTGATTTTCATCTAACGGTGATTCGCCTTTAATTATAGGAAATAATTTTTTTGGCTTTACGGTTTCGACTTCCTAAAAATCATTACAAATTTTCCGGAATTTTACGGCAAAAAACCGTAATATTAAAAAAAAATGTTATTGAAAATAGAAAAATAAAAGTATTTTTTTATATAAACTTTTATTTTTTAATTTTGTCCGAGTGATTTTTATACCCTTGCAGAGGGTATTATAATTTTAGTCAAAAGTTTGAAACGCAGTGAAGAAGACGTTTCCGACTACATAAAGTATATATATTCGTGATCAGCATCAATAGCCGAGTCCATCTAACCATGTCCGTCTGTCCGTTTCTATGCGATCTAGTCTCTCAGTTTTGAATCTATCGCGATGAAACTTTCCCAAAAGTCTTCTTTCTATTGCAGGTAGTACATATGTCGGAACGAGCCGAATCGGACCACCATATCTTATGGCTCCCATAGGAATAATGAAAAAAATAATAGAAATAACATTGTAGATAGTAGGCGTTTTGATTTTTGACATTGTAAAAACAACATTTTAAGTAGGCAAACCTGCAAGGGTATATAAACTTCGGCTGGCCGAAGTTAACTTCCTTTTTTGTTTTTATTACTTTTGCATTTAGGTTTGTTAACTAGGAGAAGGGACCCTCTTGTTTTAATGTCAACCATATCGTGAAAATAGGGAAATTTTTTTTTATTTAATTTAAATTTAAATTTATTATAAATGTTTATTAATTACAATGCATTTTAAGTACAGAAAAACTTGTTGTAAACGTATAAAAGACTTTTGAAAATTCTTACCGCGACCGTTCACACCATACACACAAAAAAAAACTATGTAAAATTAACATAGAAAAAAAGTATTTCACTATTTTCTGAATTTTTCATGTTTTTGTTGTTTTATTTTTTGGGTCATTGAATAGTATTTAACAATTAAAATAGTAGAAAACGTATTTACGAAATTTGCATGTATTTTGTTGTTTTATTCATTTGGCAAGTTAATAGTAACGTCTCAATTAATATCGTAGCAAAACTATTTTATTTGTTTGCGTGTATTTTGTTGTTTTATTTTTTGAGGCATTAAATAGTAACACCACAAATAATATCGTAACACAACTATTTTTTCCCTTCATATATTTTGTTGTTTTAAAAATACGATTATAAATTGTATGTCAACTATTTTTCTGGACTTAGGGTGGTTAGAGTATCCGACTCATAATCTCTGGGTCGTGAGTTTAAATCCCGCTTTTGCAGATGATTTTTTTTTTTTTTTTGTTAAATGTTGATTTCAAGTCTATAGATTTTCCTCTACAAAAAGCATTCTTCTGTGGCCTAGTGGTTAGAGTGCTAGACTCCGATGGTTGCGGCCCCGGTTCGATTCCCAGCGGAGGCAAAAAACCTGATTTGTAAGTTTAAGTATCTGTGAAATGTAAGTGTCTATAAATAACTTCCATATAAATTAATATAACAAATTAAATTAAAAATTAAAAAAAGTTAAAAACATAATTTAAAAAAAACAAAAATTTTTTTCGGGTTTAATACTGTTTTGTAGGTCATCTACTATTTTATAGGTAATATACTATTTATTGGGGCATTTTCTATTTTTTATGGGTTGGGGCAGTTTTCACTATTAAATAGTTGATTTTACATAGTTTTTTTTTGTGTGTAGAGAGACATTTTAACCACTCGGCCACGCGTGGTTCTTGCAATGCAATGGCTTAAGATGCCTGAAGTGCTAACGGTCTTATTATTGGTATACCAATTACAATTACACAGAGAGAATTATTTAAGTAATTTGTACTCAAATTGAGTATTTTTCTTTTTGAAAATTAAGCATGAACACAAATACTCATTATGTTAATTGTTTTATAATTATGTGAACCATAAACTGTTATAAATAAAACAAACTTACTTTTGGTTCGACTTAAGTTCTTCGTCACTCGAACCCCAGACCTTTGTGTTCGTGCACGCGCGCACTAACCGGCTGAGCCAAACAAGCATCAACAAGCATTCAACAATGTCCAAACCGCGTATAAGATTAATATCATTGTTGCGGCTAGAGTGAGCTTTTTCACTACACAAAAAAAAAAACATACTGCGAAAAGTTTTGGAAGATGATAGTTATATATTATTAGATTGTTTGAGTTAGATGCAGTCATTGCATAGACAAAATATTTGGCGCATTTTTATTTCCCTTAGTAAATAAACTCTATGTTAATATGATCAGACCCCCCACAATGTTGAATAAAAAAACACGAACACGAACACATACACTCCGGTTCGGAGTGGTTCAGTTCCGGAGTGGCTCACAGCCCTGGTTTAAAATCAAATAAAACAAGAGAGAACGCTATAGTCGGGTGCCCCGACTATCAGATACCCGTTACTCAGCTAAAGGAAGTGCGAAGGAGGTGGAGATAAAAACTTTGATCCGCCGTAACTTTTTAACGAATGGTCCGATTTAAAAAATTTCTTCTACATTTCGATAGGTATTGATAAACACAATAAAACTGCATTTTTACTTTTCCGAAATACTGAAATTTTTAAAATCGTATATTAGCGATTGTGGGCGTTAGAGGGGGCGTGGCACCCTTTTGAAACAAACTTGCGCTGCGTAGGAACTCCTAGAATCTGCATGCAAAATGTCAATCTTCTAGCTTTTATAGTTTCCGAGATCTCAGCGTTCATACAGACAGACAGACGGAGAAAATCTTAGAAAGTGTATTTAATGACGAGTGTAATAATTTTTCGTCACAAATGTTGATATCAGAACTTTTGTATGTTGAAGGTGCGATCGTCACTAGTTTTTTACCTCGTTAAGAGGTGTTTTTATTTGATGTCAGAAGTTTTTGTTTGTTTATATTTGCTCTCATAGGAGCTAGTATATACATTTAAATGTAAATTGGTCAATTATAATTTGTAAACCATTGTATTTAAACAAATTAAGTTAAAAAGGCGTTTAAGTATTTCAAAATACCTTTTAAACGAGGTATAGCACATGTCTGTAGCTTCAGTAGTGTAGAACTTACAAACTAACGAAATTTAGCTATTTCTAGCTTTTTTTTCCGCTAAAGCTGCGGGATTTTCCAAAAGTCGTAAAACAAAAGTTTCCTATTTGGAACTCCTTAAAACAATTGAAATGATTCTATGAGCCTAAAATACACGCACAAAATTAAACACTCAGGAAGCGTTAGTTGTTCTGAGCTGGCAAAAGTGGCTATTTTCGTTTCTGAATAACTTTTAAACGCGATTTTTTACATAAACATGATATATACCAAAATTTAAGGAATCTCAAGGGCTATACAGTTTAAAGTTATAAGGAAAATCGTTAGACCCGTTTTTGAGAAAATTAAAAAAAAGCTAAAAAAAAAGTTTAAACAAATTTTCTTTTGTTCATATCTTTTTAACTATTACATTTACACAAATTGCATATAGAAGGCGTTTATAGCTTTTAAAAATACCTTACAAACGAGATGCAGCACAAGTCTGTAGCTTTAGTAGTATAGAAGTTACGGCTTTCCGAATTTTAGCTATTTATAGCTGTTTTCCCGCTAAACTAGCGGGTTTTTCCAAAAGTGGTAGAACAAAAGTTTTTCATATCGATGTGATGAACGTCATATCAAGTTTTCAGAACTTAAAAAATATATTTTGGACAAGTGGACAAGTGGACAAACTGACAAACTGACAAACAGAATTAAATTTTCATTTTGGGAAGACGAAGAAAATCTTATTTTGGCTATAACTTTTGAACGCAGCGTCGGATTTTGACAAATGACCCCTCATTCGACGGGTATTTTCAAAAGGAATACAATTAAAACATTGCGAGGGGGCATTTATCCCCACCGGCCCCAACAGCTCCAAATTTCGAAATTTTCACTTTTTCACTTTCACCGCTCTCTCTCCCAAGCCAATTGATTTTCTTAGAGTCTTGGTATGCAATCCTGTTAGTTTTTGCAATACCTTTCGATAGGTGTATCATTCATTATGATCGGACCATCACAGTAGATTTTCATTTCTTCGTGTATATATAGTAGTCGCCTTCGCACACTCTCCTGGTGCGCTTCGTCACTACATGGACTGCCGTCCATAGTGATACCTATCGAAATTCAATTTTTAAAATCGGACAATCACTATCAAAACAGCCAGTAGATGGCGCTAGTAGCTTTGACGAGTGCATATATCCATCTCACTCGGACTCTCGTTAGCGTTCTTTCTTGTTTCTTCAAAAATCATCAAGCTATACCAAAAATAAGAAGTTAGGCTGACTGGCAAACTTACAAAGTTGCTTTTTTGCAACGCAATTATTTTGTATAATGTTACCTGCCAATCTAATTTTTATAATTTTTTTGTTACAGATGTTTTTGCATTCCAGTGAAGAAAAAACAAACTATAAGAAAATGGATTCCAACAAAAACGAGAGCGAAAGAGTTTGAACAAAAAACTACCGAGACAGGTCAACGCGGTATTTACAACTACGCATTGCAAAACATCAAACTTAAAAAAGCTTAATATAATTTAATTTTTAAATTCTAAATCTATATAATGGAGAACCTGGATCTTGCCGGCTATCATGACACCACAATACGAAACTGGACCAGTCTAGGCGCATTTGAGCAGCAAGGTAAACCTTGGGAATTGGTAAAAGTATAAAGTATAAAGATGGTGAAAAAGACTGGACAAGGGTAATTGGACTTAGCTGGTCTAGGTTGAAAGGAACTTAATTCCAAAACAAAGAAAACAGTGGTTTGCGCTGGAGTACTCGCTGTTGAAGACATCCATAGTTAAAATATTATTTGGTGTTGCCACTTACCTGTTCGTGTTGATGCGAACCACGTACTTTGTTTTGTTGCTGGCACGGCGTGAACAACTTTTGCCAGCATGAATAAATATGGGTAGGAAAACTTTTTTGTCTCCCAATATTCCATTATGTTCATGTTTACGTCAACTGGCTTTGGGTTGTAGTTGTCAATCTCTCGGTGAACAGCCTTAACGATTTCACTATAGCCGTCTTCGTCACCTGAGGCAACTTCAATAGTATTAAGAAACTCATTTAAGAGCGAGCAAGTATTTGATTCCTCGAGCGGTTGCGCATTTTGTACTCGTATTTGCGAACTTGTGGATGGTTGAGGACTATCACTGCACGACGGGAAAACCTATGAACAAAATTGTAAATAAGGTTTTCTTTTTACTATTATAGTTTGTATAAAACATAAAAGAACAAGTAAAAATGAAGGCAAAGATGCTGTAATCTGACTAGCAACTGCAGGTATAACAGGTTATTAAATTATGATCAAAATGATTAAATTTATTAAATACAAATGTTAAAGCTTCTGAACCACTTTATTTACTTGCCTTTTTAAAAATGTATATCATGTAATAAATTAAATTTCTGATTAAAACCATTACGATTTTCTTACCTGTTGCTCTATGTTGAGAATTTGAACTATTAAAAGTTTAAGTTGAGCTTTAGCCAACATCAAACTTATTGGATTTATTAGCAAAACCCTTCTTATTCGGGGGTCCAAATAAACACTGCAGACGACAGCGTTGTTCCCTAACAGAGCTTCTTCACGAGTTTCAATGCACGACTTCAAAATGTTGCTATTTACATGGCTTACTGCGCCAATTGTCAGTTTAAGCTCTAACCACAGCTTGTAAAAGTCACCCATATATAGTTGGGTGCTTTGCAGTTTTTGCGTGGCAATGAAAGCTGGCTCCAGAATATCAACCAATATTTTCAGTTCCTCCCATTCGCTACATGTTAGGTTTATATTGGGGTCAAAGTGATCTTCACAAAACTGTTCAAAACTTAACAACTTCTTGAGCATCAAATAAGATGAGTTCCAGCGCGTAGGAACATCAAGCTGAGGATGTGGCAAGGACTTTTCCTTAATTAAAGGCTTGTATGCAGGAGTTCGCAAAGTCTTAGCAATCTTTCGGGCCTTGTTTATAACATCAAGTGACTCCAGCTTTTGAAAAAGTCCTTAATAGCGAGCTGTAATGTGTGAGCAGCACACTTAACTGCTTGAATTGAGTGAATTCGTATGCCCTTAAGAAGGTTTTCATCATCCAACCGTTGCTCAGATTCATCTTCATCCTTTTCATAATCATCAAAAAAGCGATCAAGGTCGTCGTCTTCATCACCATCGACCGACTGGCTCAGGAGATCAATTGCTTTTGTCATATTACGCCCGTTGTCTGTTGTTACGGCGTATATTTGGTTTTTAGTTAGACCGAAGCTATTCAAAAAAGAAGAAACCTCTGCACACAAATTTTGGCTAGTATGCTTGTTATTGAGCTCTATGAGTCCCAAAGTGCATACAAAAATTTCACCTCCATTATAAAATTGAGCATTTACTCCAAGAATGCCACGATTGCATCGAGTGGCTGTATCCATTTTTAAGGAAATTATTTTTGTTTTTCATTGTTTTTGTGAGTTTTTCCTTAATATTTTCAAATTTCTCTGCAACCACATCCATAACATTTCTGGAAGTTACAGCAGGCATATTCAGACCGGAAAAAATTTGCTCAGTCAACGTCTTAAATGCTTTGGAGTCCAGAACAGTAAATGGCATTTTTTCGACCGTAACCAGATCAACACATGCGTCCTTGACTGCACTTTGGGTCATAGTCGAAGAAAACTTTATTTTCCTTTCCGGAATTGGATCTTCTTCTTGCTGGGCCATCTCAGACTTATAAATTTCATTGTGCTGGGACTTAAGGTGACGTTCAAGGTTACAGTTGTAGTTTCCCGAATACGTTTTTCCACAGATTCTACATTTTGACTCGTTCTTTTCCACGTGGAAATGAAAAAAGCTCCGAGAAACAAAACTCCGCTTACGACCCATACTAAGGCAATGACTACAAACCACAGACTGACCATAATTGACGTATAAACAGTGGTGCAGCCACCTGCACATTCCAATTGCACATATTTCTACATTCTCGATAATGTACACATTTTTACACGCCAAAATACCAAAAAATACCGATCCCTAGGGATGGTTTATATCGTTGAGCATTCACTTTTTTCCAAAGAAAACTATATAAGCAATATTTTGGGCAAAGATTACAAAAAAAAAAAAAAATTTTTAAATAAAAAATGTTTAAAAAAAATGTATATATTAAATTTATTTATAAAATTTATTTTTTTTAACTTTTTTTTTTAAATCTAAAAATATTTTTTTTGGGTTCGTCGAGTCTTACTGTATAATGCTGCGAGAAATTTTGTCCAAGGAAACCTCTGAGAAAGAAGATATCGCACTTTGAGCGATATTTTGAGCGAAAAAATAACGCTCAAAAAATAATCATTATTTTTTGATCGATATTTTTTTCGCTCACAATAATAATAATTATTCTTTGAGCGATTGAAAAAAACTCAACAAATAATTATTAAAATGGAGTAAAATGTATAAAAATCAATAAATAATCATTAAATATTGATTTTTATTATATCACTTATAATGATTACGGTCCCTGGAAAAAAGTCAATTTTTTTGGCATAAATTCAACTTATTTTACAAATTATTTTTAAAAATTAAATATATTTTGTGAATTTACATACCCTAATTAGCCAAGAACAGTTATCTAAGATTTTTTACTAACAACATTATAGTGTTGATAAGCGAACAAAGTCAGCTCTTCGATTGACTTTGTTGTGTGCGTAAATTAGTGAAATATCTTTGCAAACTTTCAGTGCTTATTTTGTGGAGCAACAAAATGGTTTATTATTTCTGATCATGTCAAATCGTAGCAAAGGTATTTATAAATGTATCTTAATTAAATGTTTTGATTATTATGGTTTTTTGTCCAACTGTGAGCTGTTTTAAATGTGTATCTTTTTAGCTTAAAACTAACAAGTTTGTTTGTGATCCGTGGCGTACAATTTATAAATGGCACAAAGTTGCAAAAAGGTAAAAACGCAAAGTTATTACCAAATGTATCCTTAATATCGCAAAACTAATAATTTTTGCAACTTTTGCACGTTTCTTCAAAAAAATGACTTAAACCCAGCAACTTCTAAACATAAAAAAAAAATTTTTTAAATAAAAAAACAATCTAAGTGGTTTTCATTAATCTAAAAAATTGAATTTATGGAAAGGGACAAGTCAAGTGAAAGTCCTGGCTGCAAAGGGCTCAAATATAAAGAAGCTGGACCCCCGTTAAAGCTAAAATTGGCATCTGCTCTTAGATCAGCGGTCGGCAGCGTCCTATTAAGTGAGCATAGGAAATTGTTCTGCTCGAGCGCTGCCTCCACGTATACTGTAGAACAGCGGTCTGCGCACACACACTGTTAAGCCGCCCCGTACAATTTACTCACACAAATATAAAACAAAATGTAATTGTATGAGTGTGCCGACCGCTGTCTTAGATCAACAACCTTTTATTTTGACAAATTTTAAAAATTTAAATTTAAAAAATAATAAATTTAAAATCAGAGTAAATTAAAACTAGAGTTTATGCCAAAAAAATATACTTTTTTCCCATAGTGGATCGGTCGGAAATGCTTCCTTCTAGTTGTTACATACTCTTGCACGAATACAATATACCCTTTTACTCTACGAGTAAGGGGTATAAAAAGTAGAAACGGCCACATCAAGACAAGACCAGTCCACTGAAGATAGGAATTTTGACAACGGGTGTTTTTTTTAGAGGTATAGAACTTTAAGTTGCAATAAAACAACGATGGAAAATGGTTGACATGAATTTTTTTTATACGAAAGATAATCTTGTGGCATTACATTTTATATATGATTTCTGGCATATGACCGCCACGGCTGACTCGGATGTAGTCCAATCTGGACGTCCAATTTTCGATGACTTTTCCCAACATTTGCGGCCGTATATCAATAACACGGAGAATGTTGTCTTCCAAATGGTCAAGCGCTTGTAGCTTATCCGCTTCTTTTTTTTTCGATATGCTCAACCAAATGTTTATTGGAGGGTGTTATGTGGAATTCAATTCACTTTCAACCATGGTAAAAATAACAAAGTAGAGAGTCGTCACTGGGAAGGAAGTAAGAAAAACAATTTTAAAAATTCCAAAACAGTTCAAAAAATCTGATGAGTGTCTGCAAAATTCAGGACATTTTTTTATTTTTATTTAGTTTTTAAAAGCTGTTCAAAAATGAAGATTTTTAAACTTTGTTGTGACTTTAAAATTTTTAATGCGTTCACCTTCTCTTGTGGTTAGTTAGAATGAATTTTTTATAAACGACCGTATAGAAGAGGCATGTAACTATTTAATTCCGAAGAGATTACCAAAATTGGTTGACCACTTTTGAAGATATATCAACAAAAAAAATAGCCTAACTTTGTGATAGAGCTGGAAAATCATCGATGTTTACCAACATCGATGTTTCGATGTTTTTCGGGAATAAACATCGATGTATCGATACATCGAATCTTTTGGTCTAATTTAAAAAAATGTGTTTAATCCATTATAAAAAGTTACGCTATATTTGAAATCAATTCTTTTTATTTTATAAATATTTAAACTTAAACTAAATTCAAGCAAAAGTAAAAAACAATCGAGTTTTACACAAAAAAAAAAACACAAAAGAACAAATTTTGTCGAAATCTACAATATTTGTATCGTATATTTTACTATTATTCTCTTAA